ATGCTATATGAATGGGGATAATGTTATATCATCCATTGAACCAGAAGCTGAACCACACCAAATGCAACTCAGCTATATCTGAAAGTAATTGAAAGTAAACAGACAAAATTATTCCCATTGAAAAAAACGATTTAAAAATACTGCTTCATAGCATACAATTTACAACCAATAGGTGCCTGGCATTAATTTTAAGATGGGGATAACACTCAGGATTGCACTGATGTGAAATACAGCACCACATTAACACAGAGATACCTCAGTCTCATCTAGAACTGGATTGTCCAAATTGCTGGCATCTGCAAGTTGAGAAGCAACATTAATATGATCTCTTCCCTGCCCCCAGCCAGTCTATGCATGTGGGCTCGGTTACTCATGTCAACATTTCTTGGCGATTGCTCTCCAATGGCGATGTTGAGTATGATCTACCAAGATGTTATGTTGCTGAAAAGTTCAGCTTAATATCTTGGTCAGGGCGAAGCACTTTGAGACATCTGGAAGATGTGATAAGACATTGTATCAAACGCAAAGTATTATTATTATTGGTCACCTCAAGACATATAGAGCAACATACAGCTATTTCAAGCCAAGTTTGAGATTCTTCAAAAAAAATCTGGATGCTGTTACTTCAGGTGTGGTGTTCTTTCATATTCTTCCCTTGGTGTCACAAAATAGTTGGGAGACACTTTTTCCTAAAGGAGGCAACGATAGCTATGGATTCTCTTGTAACCATTTAAGCCTTCACAATTTATCCAAAATCGCTCCCACCCCCTTCCATAGTCTTTCATGTCTTGTTGAATGATGTGAAAGAAGATTATTATTAAACTCTTCAAAGACTGTGCCAAAGATAACATTTTAAGGTTTGCCAAATTCCTGTAAGCTCATGTATTCGGTATATGCTTGCCGCATAAAACTCAGTATTGGAATCCAATTACATTCGCTGTTAAAATCATAACACTATATATTGTTTTATATTGTTCCAAAGTACTCTTAACTAGTAACAATACTCTGGAATACTACTACAACAAAATTACATTTGTGGAGTCCTGTAGCTCAGTGGTTAGAGCGCTCACTTTGCAAGCAAGAGACCTGAGTTCAATTCCGGGCAGGGCGAAACCTTGGGCAAGTTTCCTTACTCCACACAGAGCCTAATAATAATCCCTCCAAAACCAAAAACAATAATAAATTGGTCATTTGCAATCTACAACAATAACAACAACAAGATTCCATTTATAAAGCGCCTTTCACGTCAGGAGGACGTCCCAAGGCGCTGCACAGTTGGGTCATGACCCGAGCAGGGGGGAAATGGTCAGGGTGAGGGGAGGGAAGGGAGGGAGCGAGGAGGGGGGAAATGGTCAGGGTGAGGGAAGGGAGGGAGCAAGGAGGGGGAAATGGTCAGGGTGAGGGAAGGGAGGGAGCGAGGAGGGGGAAGAGAGTCGAGAGGGGAGCTGAAGGCACGGTCAAAGAGAAAGGTTTTGAGACCGGCCTTGAAGGAGGAAAGGGAGGAAGCAAGGCGAAGGCACTGGGGGATGGAGTTCCAGAGCCTGGGGGCTGAGAGGCTGAAGGCCCGACCACCGATGGTAGGGACGTGGAGCAGACCAGAGCCAGAGGAACGGAGGGTACGGGCAGGTAGGTAGGGGGATAGTAGGTTGGAGAGGTAGGAGGGAGCAAGGCCGTGAATGGCCTTGTAGGTGAGGATGAGGATCTTGAAATCAATCCTCTGGGGGATGGGGAGCCAGTGGAGGCGAGCGAGGGTGGGAGTGATGTGGTCGCGAAGCCTGGTGCGGGACAGTACACGAGCTGCAGAGTTCTGAATGACCTGCAGCTTGTGGAGGGAGGTGGCGGGAAGGCCGGCGAGGAGAGAGTTCCCATAGTCCAGCCTTGAGGTGACAAAGGCGTGGACCAGGGTTTCAGCAGCGTGAGGGGTGAGGTAATGCCGTAGTCTGGCGATGTTCCGGAGGTGATGGAAGGCGGTGCCAGTTGTAGTGCGGATGTGAGGGAGAAAGGACAGCTCAGGGTCGAACAAAACGCCGAGGTTCCTGACTGGCTTTGAGAGGTGGAGAGTGCAGCCTTGGATGCTGATGGTGTCAGCGCCTGAGGTGCGGAGGCGCTGACGTGAGCCAATCAGGAGGGCCTCGGTTTTTCGCACGTTGAGCTGAAGAAAGTTGTCTCTCGTCCAGGACTCGATGTCGGACAGGCAGCTGTCAGGACATCGGTGGTCGTGGAGTTGAGAGTAGAGGAGGAAAGGTAGAGTTGGGTGTCATCCGCATACATGTGGAAGTTAACTCCATGTCTGCGGATGATGTCACCGAGGGGGAGCATATAGAGGGTGAAGAGGAGGGGACCGAGGACAGAGCCCTGAGGGACACCACATGAGACAGTACGGGGGGTGGAGGAGAAGCCATTCGTTGAGACAAAGTGAAGACGGTGAGAAAGGTACGACCTAAACCATTCAAGGACAGTGCCTTCTACGACATTTGCAATCTACGACTGTTTGTGGGACATTGCTGTGCGCAATTGGCTGCCGCGTTCGCCCACAAATATACAATCAATTCACTTTACAGTGTGTTCTGTGAAGCGCTTTGGGACGTCCTCCCGATGTGAAAAGCGCTATATCAAATGCAAGGATTAAAATTAAATTAAATTTGTATAGCGCCTTTCACATCGGGAGGACGTCCCAAGGTGCTGGACAGTGTACAGCATTTCAGACCCGAGCTGGGGTCAGGGGGGTGGAAGGGAGGGGAGGGTAAGGGGGGTGACTGAGGGCGTGGTCGAAGAGGAGGGTTTTGAGGTTGGACTTGAAGGAGACTAAGGAGGGGTGAGACGGAGTGATTGGGGGATGGAATTCCAGAGGTTGGGGCAGAGTGGCTGAAGGCTCTCCCACCAATGGTGGTGTGGGTGGGTTGGGGGACATGAAGCAGGCCAGAGCCGGCTGAGCGGAGGGAGCAGGCAGGTTGGTAGGGGTTTAGGAGGTCACAGAGGTCGGGAGGGGCGAGGCCATGGAGGGCTTTGTAGGTGAGGACCAGGATCTTGAACTGGATACTCTGAAGAATAGGGAGCCAATGGAGTCGGGCGAGAATGGGGGAGATGGGGTCACGGAGTTTGGTGCGGGAGAGGACATGGGCTGCAGAGTTCTGAATTATCTGCAGCCTGTGGAGGGAGGAGTTGGGAAGGCCAACAAGCAGAGCGTTTGCATAGTCGAGTCTGGAGGTGAAGGCATGAACTAAAGTTTCAGCAGCCTGAGGGGTGAGGTAGTGGCGGAGTCGGGTGATGTTACGGAGATGAGGGAAGGCAAAGCGGGTCATGGCTTGGATGTGGGGAAGAAGACACTTGAGGGTCGAACAAGACACCTGGGTTCCTGACTGGCGGTGAGTTGAAGTGTGCAACCATGGAGGTTGATGCCTCCAGAGCCTGAGGTGTAGAGGCGCTGGCGTGAGCCAATCAGGAGGGCCTCAGTCTCGTTCACATACAACTGTAGGAAATTTGCCCTCATCCAGGACTTGATGTCTGACAGGCAGTCTGTCAGGGCAGCAGTGGTCCTGGAGTACTATATTGTCAGTCTGTCCATAGTACAGTATCATTCATGCAATCATGTGCAAAGTACACTTGAAATAATGTTACAAATGAAATTAGACCCCACCTCCCCCCAATGGCTCAGTGAGGTTATTGAGTGAGTAGCCTGAGCTGTACAGACTGGACAGGTCCCAGGTTGAATCACCAGATTGAGTTTGGTGATCTCAGCTGAGTGACACAAGGCCTATATGTGGCCTCAGTGCTTCTGTCTTAGGCGAGTAGGAAATAATCAGCCTTCGAGCTCATTGCTGATTGCTGACAAGCAATACTACTGGGGAAGGTTGTGAAAACGCTGTGAGACAATAGAACGAGACTGATTTGGGATTCTCCAAGACTGTTTAATATATTCCCGATAGTCACAGTCAGTGGGCCATTCAGCCCCTCGACCCTGATTCTCCTAACGTGAAAGGCGCTTCACAAATGTAATTTTGTTGTTGTTGACCTGCCATTCTATTAGATCATGGCTGATCTGTACCTCAATTCCACTTACCCGGCTTTACCCCATATCCCTTGATACCCTGCCCTAACAGAAATCTATCCACTTCAGTCTTGAGAATTTGATTGAAACTAGCATCCACAGCCTTTTGGGGGGAGAGTTCCAGATTTTCACTACTAGTCAAGGTTCACAACATGCTTAAGAGGCAACTTGGGCAAGGTGTTGGAGGCATCCCATGCAGGTGGAATTTTACCCCTGGCAAAGTGAAAAAGCCTAAAATATTTTAAGGAAGGGAGAAAATTGTAGATTTCTTTTTAAAAAATAACTTGGCAAAACAAACTTTTTGGAAAATCACAGAAACGTTTCAGTTACACAAGACTTAATAAAAAAAACTGCAGATGCTGGAAATCTGACACAGGAATCGCAGGTATCAGAAGTGAAGAGCAGGTAAGTCAGCATTTCAAAGAAAAAGCAATGATAACATTTAGTGTGCGACCGTCCATCAGACCTCAGCTCGATTTCATTTAATTCTGATGAAGGATCGGACTCTGAACATTAACCCATGTATGTTATGCTTCACTGTTCCTCTTTAGAAGTGTATCACAATCAATCAGTGCTATTATAGGGATTGTGTGGCATAGAGGGGTAAGGAGGGGCTAATTAAAGGTTCTACGCACTATGCAACATCTCATCCCTGTGGGAACTGCATTTAATTTTTCATTCATTTTACCAACATCATCGAACTCAAGTTTTCACAACAGCAGCAGCAGACAGTGTAAAATACAATGAATAAAATAGCTGTGTAATTTAAAAATTTACATTCTCCCGCCCACCCCCACGATCTTCCAAAACTCCCGAACATTAAAATCCGCGTAAAATGAAAATCACTTTACCTAATACTGGGTTATTTGCACTTGTTTACAGATAATAATTAATGACCCAGCACATATAATAAAAGATAGCCGTTAGACGACGGTAGTTTAACGTAACGTACTTAAGCTCTCCAGGCCGCTGCTCCACTTTGTCTCTCGATGTGTATCCATCATCTTCACTCTAATTTCAAAGTAAGAATAAAAACAAATTGCTAACAATAGCTATGTTCACAGTATGCAAAAAAAAGTGCTGCACACACATTATAGCACATCTCCCCGCACACCCCACCCCCTCCTCCCCCCCCCCACTTTAAAATAACTAGCAAAATCCTGTCTAATCCTACATCAGCATAGTAGCCTTACAATACTGAGCGCCAGTACAATGGTCTGAAGGGGCCAAGAAAGGTAATAGTTGGCAGAATTGTGCAATTCTTGTTTAGTGGCAGCATTTGCACCGCTTCCAATAATGATCTCAAGCCAATGCTGCAAACTCAACTTCTGGCAGGCAGAGTCTGGAATTAGCCACCAGGTAAATGGTTCAAATGTGTATTCAGCAAACTCCTTTCAAGCAGCTTCAGGGAGGAATGGCCTGGCCACTCAATAGGTGAACCCAAACAAGATTATTGCTCCCTGATGCTGAGGTGCAACATTTTACAGCAGCTCATTCTAATTCAGGACCTTCAGACTGAATGACAGAGATGCATTTCCGTTTTAATAATAATAATAATAATAATCCTTGCATTTGATATAGCGCTTTTCACGTCGGGAGGACGTCCCAAAGCGCTTCACAGAACACACTGTAAAGTGAATTGACTGTATATTTGTGGGCGAACGCGGCAGCCAATTGCGCACAGCAATGTCCCACAAACAGTCGTAGATTGAAAATGACCAATTTAATTATTGTTTTTTTTTTTGGAGGGATTATTATTAGGCTCTGTGTGGAGTAAGGAAACTTGCCCAAGGTTTCGCCCTCTGCCTGGAATTGAACTCAGGTCTCTCACTTGCAAAGCGAGTGCTCTCACCACTGAGCTACAGGACTCCACTACTTGGGAGTAGGCTTAACATTAATTATAGTATCGTTGGAGATGGGAAGCGATCATCAATTCCTTCACGCCCTGGCACCTCCCTACCTCTTCAACTTGCTTACTCCCCAACTCTGCCTCCACTCAACTGGCTCCAACCTCTTGTTTGTCCCTCATGCCCTCTGTTCCACGATCGGTGGCCACGCTTTCATCCATTACGCCCCAAAACTCTGGAACACTCTTGCTCTATACCCCTGCCTTGCCTCCTCCTTCCCCATCTTCAGGTCGCAACTGAAGACCTTCGTCTTCGACCGTGCTTACGGTCATCTCCCCCTTCCCCCAGCTCCGGGTCGTGCTCCGCCACTGTCAAGCGCTCTGGGACGCTACATTGCATGAGGGGCGCTTTGTAAATGCTAATTGTTGTTGTCGTCATCAGGATCCTTGAATTAAGACCCTGTGATGACAGTCCTTGCATTTGATATAATTCCTTATCACTCATTTCAAAGAGACATTTCAAAGCTCTTTGCAAGATTTACTATAAAATATAATGACTGGGTATTTTGTATGCAAACGTGGCACTGTAATGTACTACACACAACCGTGAAGTAAAAGTCCAATTTTATCTGGTGACAAGACATCAGAGAAACTCTTATCTTTTCAAATAGTATCGAGGGATCATTAACGTCCACCTGAATAGGCAGCGGGCACCTCAGTTTAACTATCATCCAAAGGACAACACCTCTGACAACGTAGTGCTTCCGAGCACTGCACTGGGAGTGTCAGACTGTGAGCTCAAAGTCCTGACAAGTGGCTTGAACCCACAATGCCACAGTATGACTGCTTGTACTTGAGCTGTAATATGAATTTACATTTCCCGTCTCTAGCTCCTACTTAGTGCCTCGCTGTTACAGAGGAAGAACATTTCTGTTTTGTGTGAAAATTGTAACTGGCATTGCAGGATTCATTTAGTTTGGCTTCAGTGTTGAAGACAGCGATTTTGGCTTGAAGAAAAGATGCCATTAAAACGTGAACACCATTCTTATTAGGTTCCAGTTGTTTTGTTTTAAGGCTGAACTTGTGCAACCAATCTGAAATGTCCGATTTGAATGAGATTGACATTCGCATGAGTGCACAAAATAAAAATCAAAAACAATTTGTAAACTATGATAATCCTTATATTTCATATAGTACCTTTTACGTCAGGAAGACGTTCCAAAGCATTTCACAGGACAGTTACAAAGTGACTGTGCTTGTTGTGGGTGAGTGTGGCAATAGGTTATATTTCAACGAAAAATTGAGTAAGGGAGGTATCAAAGCATTTTCATCCCATTCAGAGCTGGGTAGGAGATGGAAAAATAAATGGTGGATTTCAGCTGCAACTGCTTCTTCCACCTGCTGCTGCAAGAGCAGCAGAGTCTTAAAAGATCATTATTCCCACTCTCTCAGGCAAGGAATGAAGTGAAGATTACAATAGAGGCTCAGATGAAGAATGTCCTTCGGTCCATTTGATCTCATCTTTCCAGAATACCCGCCCAACCATTTTGAGAAGAACTAACACTGTTTTTACAAAAAAACACAAATGCTCAGTTTAGGTTTTTAGGTCCAGATGATAACATATGCAAACCAAAAGAAAAGGATTGTACAATTTCTATTGTAAAGCAGAAAATTCATTAAATCTAAAATAACTGTTCCAAATGATGCAAAGAATCATTTGCTAAATTAATTTTAAATCTATAGTTTTAGACAGCATCTGGCATTTCACAACAAGAGGATGTCTCAAAGCTTTTTACCTTTAAAATTTAGAAAAACTTAAATTACAAACGGAAAAAGAGATTCATTTACATTGCAAATATTGCTTTTTAATTCAATCCCAAGTAAAACTGATTATACTTCATACTTCCTCAAATTACAAAAATGTTAATTTGATTTTGTTCAACTGAGTTCATCAGCATTGTTGTACATGAAACTTGGTTACATATTGCTCAGTCTATAACTTTGCTGGATGTGAGAAATAAACACTGGCTGACCCATTTATAAAAATAATAATAATAATAATCCTTGCATTTGATATAGCTCCTTATCACATCGTTAAGACGTCTCAAAGCGCTTCACAGAATATATTGTAAAGCGAATTGACTTTGTATCTTGTGGGCGAAATGCACTTTGGTGCAGTTCAGGTCTGCTTCCAGTCACACTGTGGACACACAGTGGTGGAAAGGAAATGAAGTGCACTTGCAACTTCTGCCTCAGACTGGCCAGTTTAGTCAAGCATTAATAAATACCGAAAGAAAATCTTATGCATTCCTAATGCTAACTGTAACAATGTCCTGTCATTACATACAAAGAGTCATAGCTTTCTGACCGAACAAGAAAGCATTGCACAAATCAACTACTTCAACAGTGAAATATTTCTTCAAACAAAATGTAAAACATTGAAGAAATGCCAGTTACAAGAAGACTTACTGGAAGAGAGTATAGACAATGTCAAACTACAGAATAACGTTTCAGAGAGTCATCACTAAATTAGACCTTGATTTTCTAAAATATAACCCATACCTGAGTGAGTAGCAGCCAACCAGTTCTCAGCCACGGCAGCACCAGAACAGTGTTCAAAATGAAGTTGCCAATCTTAAACTGCTGACCCAACAATTATTTTGTCCCGTAAGAATTTAAATGTGTTCTTGTGAACCAGTTCTCATGAACAAATTAATGGTACAGTATAATTATTATAATAATTAGTATAATAATCCCTCCAAAACAATAATAAAATTGGTCATTTTCAATCCATGACTGTTTGTGGGACACTGCTGTACGCAATTGGCTGCCGTGTTTTGCCCACAAATGTACAGTCAATTCACTTTACAGCATATTCTGTGAAGCGCTTTGGGACGTCTAGAAGACGTGAAAAGCGCTATATCAAATGCAAGGATTATTATTAGAACATAGAATATTATACTACAGAAACAGGCCATTCGGCCCAGCTAGTCCATGCTGGTGGTCCACGGCAGCCTAAACCTTCCTCAATTCTCTTTTCCCTTACGTGTGCATCAAGTTTCCCCTTAAATAGGTTGATGCTTCTGCTTCAATCAAAGCTCTGGCAGTGAGTTCACATTCTCACCATCTTCTGTATAAAGAAGTTCCACCTAAACTCCTTTTTCGATCTTGTTGGCGCATTTCACCCAAAAAAAAACTTTCACTCAACATTAATAAAAACTGTAACATTTGAATGGAAATTAAGTAAAGATATGAAGTACTGAAAGCCATTGTTCCATAAGAGGCAGTGTTGCTCTGAATATGGTATTGCAACATGCATGTTGTGCACAAGGCCTGATTAGGATGTGGCAGACCAACCAGGACCCTAGACTAAAAACCATAGTCATGGTCAAAGATGTAGATTTTAGGCAGGATTTAAACACAGATAGAGAGGGAGCGAGATGGAGAGTTCCAGATGTTAGGGACACACTAACGGAAAGCATGGAGGTTGTAGGGGCTGTGAAGCAGGCATGAGTTAGCCAAGCTTATGGGTGAGCAGAAGTGTGGAGCAGGAGATTCTAGAAATGGGAGGTGATAGTGCGTGCAGGGGCTTATATGTGAGGAACTTGAAGATGAACTTGCATAATAGTATACAGTGACTTATACAGTACAAATGTAAACATTTGGCAAGCATTTCGATTTTCTGAGCCAAGCGCAAATTAAACACATTTTTAATTTAATTTAGGTAAAAATGGAATGCACTGGCTGAAAGGGTGGTGGAAACAGATTCAATAATAACTTTCAAAAGAAGATTTGGGTATTTACCTGAAAAGAAAAAAAATTGCAAGGCTATGGGGAAAGAGCAGAAGAGTGGAACTAAACGTACACTTATAGTTCTTTCAAAGGGCCAGCACAGGCACGATGGGCCGAGCGGTCTCCTTCTGTGCTGTAGGATTCAATTATTTTATTTTTAAATTGATTCAACAAAACAAGTGTGAGAAATATGCTTAGATGCAAACCATCCAAATAAAGTCTTCACACTGTACTTCAAGTATCAAGTATTTTTCAGAATTTGTTTTAAAACATAATGGATGTGAAACACTGCGCTAGTTATTGACTATTTAGACTAGGCAATCATACGGATGTCACAAGAGGTACTGTCACAATCTTATTTACCAATACTTTC